TAGCCATTGAAAACATCCAATTCAAATTTTGAAGAGGTCATGATCAAAAATTTTGAATGCAGAGACAATATATGCAGACGAAAGAGACACTTTACAAGTATATACAACTTGCAGTAATTCAAATATCACCACATAAGAGACACTGAATATACAATAACACTATTTGTAAAGGGGTTTCAGTTATTTCACACAAGTTTATCACAGTAATGCAATCACACTGAGCTCTATATATATAGACTAAGTATAAATCACAACAATATGTATTATACAATAGCAAAGATCAAATGTAGAGGAATAATATCAAGATCTTTGACTTAAGTCAAGACAATCATCAGATTCCAAACAACTCAGAGGGTTTATGGACAAAGGAATTGCCAAGAGAGTCTCACATCTATGGATCTTAACCAGGTTTGTAGAGAACTTAAAGGTATAAACACGTAATATGTTCAATAAACCATAAAACAGGAACGAACTCACCAAATTCGTTTATTAGGGTTTCAAGAAATTACAGCAAACCACTGAATCAAGTGTAAAGACTTTCAGATCTACAACAATCTAAGCCAAAAACCACCGTCTAACCTCTCTGATACCACTGTTATGACTAGGTTTAAGATATTAGGCAACATTCATCAACCAGAAATAACAAAAATATAACAAAATTGAAAGACACAGAACATAAGAGATCTTCGCCCTAAGGCAAGAGGGTCAAAGTAAGCTCCTAATTCCCTTTTGTGTTTCCACCACTGGAAGAGATTATTGCATTAACCAGAACCAAAGACCGTCCAGGATTACAATTCAAACCCAAACTAAAAAATCACTCAAGATTTACAAAAAAACCTCTTGAACTATACATGAAATCAACCACCATTTACAGATCAATCAAGACTTGCAGTACATGATTTCATCTAGAAGATAAAGTATCTTCAATTCGCAATCGAGAGAAGGGAGTGAAAAATGATACTCATAAGTCATAGAGAAAGGGAAGAGAAACAGCCCCAAAACGAATGGAATGTATAATGAATGATAACCCTAGACGTCAATGACCAAGTACATAGAGGTCATCGGAAGGTCACCAATGCAACGGCTGAGGAGGCAACACCTGGCATCATCTTGTTTACTTAGCCCACTAATAAAGTCGCATTTTAGACACACGAGATTAGTTCAAAAATTATAAGGCGTTAATTAGTCAACATGTTTTTCTTCACAATTAAATCAAACTGGTCAACAGTCAACAATTCATCCATCCAGTCAGTAAATTGACTCCACATCATTGTACCACATCATCACACATTTCTATCACATACAATGTTTAGAAGAATTAATTTGAATATTTAAGATGATTTTGTTGGGGAAAATAAGACATTTTGACTAGATTAATGTCACCGGCTTATTAAACCTAAAAAATCTTCAAATCAGTTCGCCAAAAACTTCGTAACATATACTTGCCATTAATTCAAGATATTATGCCTCAAATTGATTAGAATTGAAATAAAAGCAGATCCAATCCTACTTCGAAGTGACGCCCAATATGATAATTAATTGTAAGATATCTATAAATAATGATGACCATCTATCTTGCAATTTATCCATATATTGTTGTTTTACAGATAAAATGTGTTAAAATCAAATTCATATTCTCTTGAAGTCTGAAATTCTGAATAGTTTTCATCAAATTCAAATGCAACATATATGTGTGTTAGGTCTAGTATAATTCTCCTTTCTATTTGCGACTATGATAATGTAGAGAAAATTCCAAGAACTTCGTGTATACTAAAAAAAAGATTGAACCCCAACCTTAAGAACCCCCACCACCCCACTCTTAGAGTTTTGTGAGGGAGGTAAATTGCGGGATGTGCCTTAGTAGGCCAGGGAACAAGAGCTGCTTGTACACTACGCCTAGAAGGAGTCCAATTCCATGTCTCAAGAATCGAATCCCCACACTGCGACTGTCAGCAAGGCGTGAGATAACTTCACTCCTATTCTTTGTACCACTAAACTATGCGCAGGGGGGGCTAACTACGTGTATACTAGCTTATAGCAAGTGGGACGTTAAGGTTAAGCTTGATGAGGCTGTCCACTAAAAGCGAGGCCTAACAAAACTAGAGGGCCACCAATCTGAAACAAATATTTTCTGTTTTCTTGATTAATTGTATATTTTTTTTAAGTAACATCGTGCATAAACATGGAATTTAGTGATAAACTATTTTAAACTAATTTACCACAAAAAGTATTGATTGATTAGATTCCCTGATAGAGAAGTTTACATAAACATCTTACGTATTTACATCAAGGAATGTCAATCCACCATGTATATATGAAGCTAATTGAAAATTTAAGCATGACAGTTTATAGGTCCATTGAGTTTCCAAACTTGTATATGATGTTTCACTCCCTCATATCGTTTTCTTCAAATCTTGAAAATATTTGTAAACATGACTACATCTTTACGCATATATGATTTCATTGAAATTTGAGATAGAGCCTATTTTAATTAGAATTGGGGACACCTATATTAATATGAGCTCAGAAATTTCATTGAAATTTGAGATAAGTATAAATGAGATTTGGTTACCATTTGGTTATTGAATGAAATAGAAAAGGTAATATTATCCTTCCCAATTAAATTAAAAAATTTCTAGGTTGTTGATGCATTTGTAAATACATATTAGGGAGCGGAAACTAGATCGTAGCCCAATAATATGGAACTGATTAATCAAAAGAAAGAGAAACACTTGCAATGTATTAAAGCTGATTTTTATTGAATATTCTTTGTTGTATCGAGAAAATTCTTTTATCAAACATCATATTTTATTTTATTTTATTTTTTTCAGCTTTCCATATTTATTTTTCTATACGACCCTTGGTATGACTGCAACTTTGCCATGGTCGTCAACAAAAATCCAAACTTGGTTACAATGAAAATCTTGAGTTACCTTATGTTATTCATAAATTATCACAGTAGTCACATATTGGTTGTCTTTGTTGATGATGCTCTTGGCTTGGTCTCCATCCATATCAATTGTGTTAAGCAACGTCATCACTGTAATAGAAATTTCATTACAAATTGAATGGATTTTAAGTAAATTACAAAATAATAAAAAAATTCACAATATTCTGAAAGCGATAATTATAATTATTAATGTATAGTGCAACTCAAAAATAAGCAACAAGTGAATAGGTTATGAATATTTTTTGTGGTACTTTAAAAAAAAAGGTTGAACCCCAACTTTGAAGGCTCATCGTCCCGCCCCTAGAGATTTGTGAGGGAGGTCAATTGAGGGATGTGACCCAACAGGTCAGGGAACAAAAGTTGTCTGTACACTGCGCCTACAAGGAGTTCAATTCCATGTCTCAGGAATCGAACTCCCACACTGCGACTGCCACAAAGCGTTTATACCTATAGGAGGAGGATAGGGAGATCGTGAACACATATCTTTATATTTTCAAACTAATTCTTTTGTTGTTATGATGGCAAGAGTCTCTTACGCCTTTTTATACCTTTTTTTCATTTTTGTGCAGGTTTTATGAGAAAGTGTAGCTGATTAAAATCTTAAAGAATTTTTAGAATCTTTATGTGATTTTATAGATTTATTCTTGTTATTTTGATGGATTTTATAAATAGTTTTTGGATTTTCCAATTAGGTTATTGAAATGTTGTCTAGAATAAACAAGTCATTTTATTTTGAAGTGTGTTCTGAACTACGTTTAATGGAATTTTTAAGATTTGTGGATTCTAATAGATACAGGAATTTAAATAGAATTCAAAAGACATTAACATAATTCTATTTTAAAGATTTAAGAATATCTTATGATTACGTTAAATAATATAATTCTACATAGATAATAATTATGTTTTGCTAAAAAAATCATATATTTAACGTTTAATATTGAAAAATTGTTCAAATAAATACTAAAAAATAAAAGTCACTTTTATCGGAAAATTTTCACAGAACTACAATGTGTGAAATTAAGCAAATAAATATCAACAAATTAAAAATCGATTCAATCTGAAAATAAAATCATTTTCAGAATAGCATTGAGTATTACTTAGAAAATTATACAAAATATGATAAGATTAAAGACCTGTTTAGCTGTCGAATAGAATGCAAAACGAAGAATGGACTATTTCGTTTTTTATTCTTATTTGTCACAAATGGAAATGCGGTTCAAATACAAACGAGAACTCAATTCGTCATTTCGTTTTCTCTTTCACTTCGAATTTCTAAATTAGAATGGAAGATGAGATATTTTTCTGCAAATAATTATATTTTTCTTTAGGTTTATTAAACTAGTTCATTTACATGGGACACACCCATATTTTCATGTTGGTTGTCTCCTTTGTTTTGACTCTAATTGTAAGGATTAATGGTTGTCTTGTAAAGACTTTTTCAGTTTTTAAAAGAAGATATTGACTGTTATCTTATGGAGGTGAGTTTATATATGAATAATGAATATTACCACATTTTTGGTTTCCTGTGAACTTGTGTTTCATAGTTTCATCCAGACATTTCACTTTCAAAACATCAGAAAATTTTTTTCATCAGACAATTTTTTTCTGGTTTGTGAAGTATATTATATCTGTTAATTAGCATCAGACTGATCCTTACATGACTGGTTTGTCAAGTGTTCTTGTACCACTTTGGGTTCTTGTTTTCGCTGAATATGTCCCATGGATTGACCAGAAAATCAATGAATTAGTGTCCGAGCAGCAGAAAAATGATGCCAAGCTGGCTCATGAAAAATCTGAATTGGAACAGCTTAGGCAGGATGCTGCTAATGCTCTGAAAAGCAGAAACAATCCATTTCTAAGTCACTTGAGAAGAATTGTGTGAACCAAAAAGGTTACTTTCATCATTGTCAGTGTATTTCAATTTTTCTAACTCTTGAATGTTTGTTCCATTTTTGTAGTAGAAGTTTGATGAAAATTAAACTTGATTCATGAATGATGAAAAATTAAATTTGATACATGAATTAGTTTGTTTGAAGAATTTAAGAAAATGATGGCTCAAGAATTTGAGATGGCTGACATTGGGCACATGTCTTACTACCTCGGAATTGAGGTAAAACAAAATGGAAATGACAATTTTATTTTTCAAGAAGTTTATGCAAAAAAAGTTCTTGAAATGTTCAAAATGCAAAATTGCAATCCAGTGAGTACTCCCATTGGGCGTGGAACAAAAATGTCAAAATATGATAAGAGCGCGAAAGTGGATCCATCTATCTATAGACAGTTTGTTGGAAGTTTGAGATATTTAACTTGTACAAGACCTGATATTCTTTATGGTGTTGGTCTTGTTAGCCGTTATATGGAGGCACCAACTTTAACTCACATGGAGATTGCTAGAAGAATACTTCGCTACATTAAAGGTACCATTGATTATGACTTAGCTTATTCTTTTTCTACGAATTTCAAGTTTCATGGTTATAGTGATAGTGATTGGACTAGTAATATTAATGATTGAAAAAGCACTATTGAATTTTTGTTTTTTCATGGGTAACAATGCTTTCACTTGGTGTTCAAAGAAGCACTCCATTGTGACTCTTTTTACTTGTGAAGCTGAATATGTTTCGGCTGCATCGTGTGTTTGTCATATCATTTGGCTACGGAAGTAATTGGAAATGCTTCATATGTCCCAAAACGAAGCTGTACCAATTTATGTTGATAACAAGTCAGCTATTGCTTAAGGTAAAAATCCTATGTTCCATGATCGAAGCAGACATATAGATAAGAGATTTCACTTCATTAGAAAGTGCATTGAGAACAAAGAAGTTGAGCTTGTTTATGTGAAAACCAATAATCAAGTAGCAGACATCTTTACCAAACCATTGAAGAATGATGATTTTGCAATATTGCGTACTTGAATTCAATCAATGTTGAAACCTGCCATGATTGCAGGAACTAAAAGGCCTCGTGATTGAAGCAAGAAACACTCCACGAAAGGAGGAAAACAAACCTCCATGAAAGGAGGGATTGGAATTCAATCCAATGAACTAAAAGATATACAAAGTCTTGTATTTGTAGACACAAGTGTGGGTGACTAACTAGAATAAATAACATCTAACAACTAACTAACTAGTAACTAACCAATCAACAAACTAACTTATTTTTGAATCTGCTGGAACATATATTCTAACACACCCCCTCTCAAGATGGACTATGGAAATCAACAATAGTCTATCTTGAAGATTAAAGTGTGAAACATGGATGCAAGTGCACTTAAGAAGCCTTCTTCATCTTCTTTAGCTTTTTTGTCATTTTCCCAGATTCAGCGTCTGAGAGTATTTTCAGCGGCAATATAGGGGTTGAATATGCTTCCTGTAGCCTAGATTTTGTGAGGACCCGATAAGTGACCAATGCAGGTGCACCATATTAAATGATTTTCACATTAGACTCCAACTAAAATGAACGGGAAACAAGGGAACCAACGTCAAGTCTTTCCCATGACTTACATGTGTTGTCAATCACATAATCAAATACACCTTGAGTCCAACTATCATCAGCAAGAGTTACATTATATGCATTGGTGGATCACCGGTTGTAATTAGAAACCTTGAATTAAACTCCATAAAAGGAGAACAAATACAATGGAATTGGAATAAATTCCATGCAGGGCTAGTCCTGGGCTAAGACAAATGAGGCCTACGCCTCAAGTCCAGGGCCATAGGGAGCCTCGTTTTGGCCCAAAATTTTTTTTTTCCTTCTTAAAAACAAGACCAGCCGGCCCAAGCCAAAACCAATTATCCAGCCGGCCGAAGGGGCTTAATTTTGGCCCAGTAATTTTTTCCCCTCTTAAAAACAAGGCCAGCCAACCCAAAGAACCAAAACCATTATCCAACGAACCCACAATCCATTTACCTTTCAAATCTATTTACCCAACCCAATTTATTTATCTAATATTCACTATCCAATTTATTTATCTAATATTCCCAAAATTCAATGAAAATTCCCAAAATCTGCTCGACGCCTCTGCTCATCAGTCCACAGTCCGACAATCGTCGCCACTCACCTGAGTGTCATCTTCTTCAGGTCAGTCACCTCCTTCGGCTCCGACCACCGATTCCTAAATTTTTCATATTATTTACTTTGTTGGAGCACTTGAAGACATTACCAATCTTGTAGTTATGAAACCCTTTTTGCCGACTGTTTTCTAGAATATAATATCATTGAGTTTATCCAGGTTTGTATAGAGTTCCCAACTGATTATTACAAATGTGTTTTTCTAGAATAGAATTTTTTATTTATTATTATTTATTTTTCAGCTTATGTGGGTCTGTGAGCTGTTGAAAATTTTCTTTTTTGTTCTATTTCTTTACAAATTAATTAGAGATAAAGAGCATTGAATCTTGTCAGATACCAATATATCTGAGTGGGTGTGGTGGGTGTTGGTTGGGAGTGCGGGGGTGGGAAGTGGGCGAGGAATTAATATCTATCTCTCTCTTTTTCTCCTCATTTTTTTATTTCTTTTTATTTATTCCATGTTTTGTTCAGCTAAAGCCTAAACATAATTGATTAAAATTAGTAAACAATTAACCGTATATTTTATGGATTCACAACTTTTTAATCCTACATTCTATCAATTTTAATAAAAAAATATACTAGAAATCAGATGCTTAAATCATCAACGACTTAATCAATTTAATTGTTTTATGTAGAAAAACATAAGTTTGTTCATTTTAAAAATGATGAAACGGTTGATTCTTGGTCACTTAACAGTCATTTTGGATAGAAATCATCTAGAGGTCCTTCGAACGCATATTTATTTATTAAAAGGTTTGAAATGTATCAGCTACAATTTTTTAGGTGTTAAACTGTCCTTTTTTATTTATTATTATTTATTTATTTTTTCAGCTTATGTGGGTCTGTGTCCAATATTATTTTTATGGAATGTTAGGTTAGTAGGTCTATGTGGATTTATGTAGTGTTTAGTTTACTGATTAGTGATTAGAGCCCAATGTAGTTTTCGAGAATAGATTTTTGTTAGTTCCATGTAGAGCTGTATAGTGTTTCTTAGAGATTGTGGCCAATATTGTTTGCCGATTTTGATGGATGATCTCAGGCCTCAGCATGAACTTTTCTTTACTTCTCCACATCTTCATAAGTTGTAACTCAAGCTAGTTATTAAATCTGATAATCCAAAAGAAAACAACCATGACATGAGATTTTTCAAGCTGACTTGCCCCTTCACTTTGCTAACATTGAAACCATAAACTTATCCACATGGAAGAGCAGCTGCGAAATAACTCTCCAGCAGCTGCAAGTCGCACATTTTCAGTTTTACATACTAGTTTTCATTGAGTTATTATGATTTAAAATTACATTTCAATTCATAAGATTGAATTCTATTCATTTACTTCAAAATAAAAATTGTATAGGCTTTATGTTTTGTAATTGATTCAATTGTGTTTGGAGTAAAAGGTGAAATTGGATCGTTCTTCTTTTGGCTTTTGTGTAAAGCTATTATCATAAATTTAGTTGAATAGAGCAAATTATTATTGTCTATAGACTGGAATATGATGATAATAATTTCACAAGACACTTGCAAATTAAGCATTTGACTAAATCAATAATTCAATAGTGATGCCATTTACATCATCTGCAGGATATTCCAGTGAGCTATATTAAGCATCGATAATGGGCTCTAGAGTTTGGTTCAAGAATATAATGAGCAAAAAGAAAGTGAGAGGTGACAGAGCTCAAAAATTGAAGGTTTGCTGTTCTTAAATATTCTTAATTCCCTTATCACTAGATCTTAGTCTTGGCAATCTTAGACATCATATATAATTTTATATAAATTTTTGTTTCAAACTCGTGAGTTGTGACGAGATCATTCTCAACGGTGTAATTCCACAATTATCGTCAAAATTCCACTTCTCAGGTAAGCAATGGCTTGCCCTAACTTGTTATTAAAGAGATTGAAAATGTTTGAAGTCTTGTCGGCTTGTATAATTGCAGCTTGGTTGGCTTATATGATTGGTTATTGTGGGATGAACAATTATACAGGCGCACATAGTAACTGTATTGAAAATTGTAATTGTGTGATGATTGAGATATTTTGTAATTGTTTTTTAGGTTAATCATTGGACATTATACGCCATTGAATTTTGTATTTATATAAATCGTTTCTATAATATATTTGGTTGTTGTTTTAAAGTTAATTTTTTAAGTTAGCAATGGATCGCATAATACACCGTTGAATTTTGTTTTTACATTGCTTTCGCTGGGGGACCTAATTTACACACTTCGCCTCAGGGCCCAACAATCACAGGACCGGCTCTGATTCCATGAAAGACATTGTCAAACCAATTGGTGCGGCGGTTGATTCTGATAAAGATGAATTAGAGGCAGAACTTGAAGACTAGAAGGCAACCTGTACGCCCAACTGCTTGCAAGAATACAGAAGATGAAGATGAGCTTGATGCATTGCAGGCAGAAATGGCTCAGTGGTTGCTACAAAGAAGAAAAAATGATTCTAGTGAGGAATTAGAATCTAGAACACCAGAATATGAAGCACCGAAGACAAACCATGTTGTTGGTGTTGAAACCTATCCTTGAGGTCATTCCCAATGGCAGTCAAACTGGTGGATGATCTGAAGCCAAACTATCTTTGTAGCCAGTAAAATGCTGAGATGATAGCAATAGTAGGAAGCAATTATGCTCTGATACCATATTAAATTCTTGAATTCAAACAATGTTGAAACCTGGCATGATTGCAGGAACTAAAAGGCCTCATCATTGAAGCAAGAAATACTCCATGAAAGGAAGAAAACAAACCTCCATGAATGGAGGGATTGGAATACAATACAATGAACTAAAATGTATACAAAGTCTTGTATTTATATACACAAATGTGGGTAGCTAACTAGAATAACTAACATCTCACAACTGACTAATTAAACTAACTAGTAACTAATCGATCAACAAATTAACTAATTTTTGAATCTGCTGGAACATATATTCTAACAAAGAGAAACACCTGCAATGTATTAAAGCTGATTTTATTGATTATTCTTTGTTGTATTTGGGAACCTTTTTTTCTCAAACATCATAATTTATTTCCATTTTCTTTTTTCTTCAGCTTTCCATATTTACTTCTCTATCCAACCCTTGGTATGAATGCAACTTTGCCATTGTCATCAACAAAAATCCAAACTTGATTACAACAAAAATCTTGAGTTACTTTATTGCGTTCGGGGATTATCACACCGGTCACATTTTGATTGTCTTTCTCGATGATGCTCTTGGCTTGGTTTCCGTCCATACCAAGTTTGTTAGGCCACATCATCCCTGCATAGAAATTTCATTATAAAGCATAGGATTATTAGTAAATTACCAAAAAATAAAAATAAAAAAAAATTGCACAATATTTTTAAAGTGAAACTTATAAATATTAATGTATAGTGCAACTCAAAAATTAGCAACAGGTGAGTAGGACAGGAATATTTACTGTCGCATTTTCCAGACTTAGATTCACAAGGAGATAGGGAAAAAGTGAAGACATGTCTTTGTATTTTGGCAAAAATTCTTTTGTTGTTGTGATGGCAAGAGTACTGTCTTACACCTTTTTATACCCCTTTTTTTTTTGTGCATGCAGATTTTGAGAAAGTGTTGGTGATTGAAATCTTAAAGAATTTTTAGAATCATTATGTGATTTTATAGATTTATTCTTGTCATTTTTAGAATCATTTTATAGAAAGTGTAAGCAGATTTTGTGAGAAAGTGTTGGTGATTGAAATCTTAAATAATTTTTAGAATCATTATGCGATTTTATAGATTTATTCTTGTAAATATAAACAGTTTCGAACTCTATGTTTTATGAAATTTTTAAAATTTGTGGATTCTAATAGATTTCACGAACGTAATTCTATTTTATAGATTTTATGAATTTGATGGACTTCTTGATGTTATATATTTATAGTATAAATATAAAATGTGAAAGAAATAATCAAATTAGATGAAATGCCCAAATAGTGGAAAATGTGACATTTGTGTGGAATGTCAAGGGTTCGAAATTATTTAATACGTGGGTCAAACTAGTCAGTATTTTCTGACCTTTTTTGTAACAACCCACTACCACAATCATTAAAATACCCACTACTCACAACCATTAACATTCTGCATTATTCTCTGGTCATGGAGGAGACAATTACTTCCAATTTTGCCTATATAAACTCATGTCTTGGTTTGAAAAAGTGACAGATCAAAGAAAACAGAAAATCATTAGATCATATTCCGTATTTTTATACTCAATTTTTACATATATTTTGGAGTACTTTTGACAGTTCTCAAAATCATTCGTGATTGCTACACAAGTGGTTTACGATCGTTGTATCCTGAGAATGATTGTCCACGGAGATCGCGGCAGTTATTGACAAACAATTTCACTTTAGGACATCGTGCTGTCACGAGACTCGATCAGACGAGAAGTTTTATATTTCTGTATTTTATTGTTCTGAACGTTACTACAACTGATTATTTTTCAACACTTGAGACAACAACAAATCTAATAGATTGACATTAACGTAATTCTATTTTATAGATTTTAAGAATTTTGATAGATTGTATAAATAGTTTTTGGATTCGAACTCTATGTTTTATGAAATTTTAAAAATTTGTGGATTCTAATAGATTTCAGGAATTTAAAGACATTAACATAATTCTATTTTTATTGATTTTAAGGATTTCTTATTATTACGTTAAAATAATATAATTCTACATAGAAAACTTAAAAGGGAAAAAATTAAATATTTTTTGCTTAAAAGCCATTTATTTAATGTTTAATACTGAAACTTTATTCAAATAACTATTAAAAATACAACTCACTTTTATCGGAAAAATTTAACAAAACTGCAATGTGGAACTAAGTAAAAATAAATAAATAAATAAATAAAATCGATTCAATCTGAAAATAGAATCATTTTCACTGTAGCGTTGAATATTAGAAATTTGTATTATAAGCTTAAAGTCTTGTTCCGTTATTGAATAGAATTTCAAAAGAAGAATTCACTATTTCGTTATTTATTCTTATTCGTCACAGATGGAAATATGATTCAAAATTCCATTACAAATGAGAACTTAATTCTTTATTTCCTCATTCCGTTTTCTCCCTCACTTTGAATTTCTAAATAAGAATGGAAGATGACATATTTTTCTGCAATTTTTTTTTTCACTTAAATTTAATTTCTTTAAGTTTATTAAATGTATAAATAATAGACCTTTATATTTGTAGGCTCGAAATCCACTAAAATCTGAAGGGTCAGCATGAAATTCATAAAGATCTTGGTATTTATATTTGTAGACTAGAAACACGTCTATAGAAGTTATTCAAATCCTGAAAATATTTGTAAACATGACTGCGTCTTTGCACATATATGATTTCATAATACTTTTGGTTGACCACCTTAGGAAGCAAAATATCAAGACAATATAGTGTGAGACGACAATACAATGCAAATTTATGAAGGCTGAAAGTCGCACCATGCATTTTGTTCCTTTTCCTTTCTTGGGACCATTTCTCTTTGTGTTCGAATTGAATGACTATTTCTTAACCTCCCATAAAATTTTCTTGGGTAAAGCCACTGGTCACGGTCTAGTCGTTCAATTTTGGTGCAAATAAAATAATAAAAACTTTTACATCAATTTCTAATTAACATGACCAAAATTTTTTCACGAAATTAACATAGTCTCTAAGAACACAAATTGTTCTTAATAAAAATAAATAAAAATAAAAAATAGATCGATTACATGAAATTTTATTTTGAAACAATTGCATATAATTTTAATTTAAAAGTAATTATGTACATACAGAATAATCATGAATTAATTACAGCAAATAAATTAAAGAGATAATAGAAATCGTAGATTTGAAAGAAAAAAGACTTTCTTTTTTGGGCTTTGAAATTTTCACAAATCTCAAAGTATAAGAGAAATTTTCTTTGAGATTTGCTATATATATTTTTCAACAAAAACCCAGTAAATAGAGAATTCTTTAAAAGTCATTGTTTATTTGAATACCACATCACTTATAGATACTTCTAAAAAAATTTAGTTGAATATCCCCGTGATTTTTAAATTTTAGAGACTTTTAAAAAGTCTGTAGAAATCCCAATTGAATACATAAAAGTCTCAATTGAATACACATAAACTTTTTAAATTTTCAAAATTCTTTAAAAGTCTCAAATAAATACATCCCCTTCCTAGTAATCTTAGAGCTTAAATATGGTTAGCTTTCAACTAAAATGCGGCTATGCCTATATTACTTTGCCAACTTATGAAAAATAAGCTATTTTCAGATCTGCTAAATCCGGTGTCTATCTTTTGAATCAGACCTTGGAATTTTTGTTGTCCATCAATGTTTTCACCATTGGATCTTGTTTGATGTTTATCTTACATATTTTATCAAGTTCGCGATATGTTTCTCATGTAATCTTGCTCGATAAATGCTGCAAAATTATGTGATAGTCATAGCTTATTAGATGTGGTGTAACTTTTTTGTTTTCATTAATAGGTACACTGGAAAAATCCTTCTCATTCCGATGCTATAGGGTCATCAAGAAAGAAAGATTTCGAACCTCAACAGGGAACTTCAAATTTGACATGATGGTTTACGTTCAGTTTTTTTTCCCATCATTTGTCTAGTAGTTTCTAGACTTATTGAAGATATTCTTTAGGTAATTATGTTTTAAATAGTTTCTAACTTATCGGGTGCTAATCTAGTTAAGTTCTTGTTCTTTTTCCCCGGATTATATGGTCCAGAAAAGCAGGGGAGAATTCAAGAAAGACTGGAATTCAATTGATGAGAATGGAACAAATATCGAACCGTGTTACTTTAACTCTTCCATATGTTATGGCGGCCGACAAATGTAATCTCCAACGAGCCAGAATAACAATTTTAAGATTATTGTAAGTGTAAGTATTATACCCTAAATCCAATCAACTTTGAACATAAATACTTTTGATATATTATTAATGCAATTTAATGGGAGATCTATTATTTAATTAATAGATAATTAAATAAATAATAGAGTCCGTAAATTCAAATTTTCGTAATTCATTAATCACAAGGAGTTGTGATTGTGAGATACAAATTACATCTGATTGAATTTTAAATCGTCCGTGGCAGTAAGTAATAACGAGATACGGATATCGTTATTACGGATATACCATCACGTGTGATATTTCTTACTTGTGAAGTAAGTAGCTGATCTCACAAGTTAAAGTGTGGTGACACTTAAATGGACACGTGGATGTTTTGTTATAGATCAAAACATTGAAGACCCACCGAGAGATTCCACGTGGATAACTATCTGAGTGTCGGTGGTTAATCTCTAACGTTCGCTAGTGGAATTGGTCCTTTGACTTGAGGTCGTCATGGTACCTTATATGAGGACAGTCATACTTTGGCGGTGTTGGATGTTGCTATGCAAAATGCGCTAATACGACATCATTCGGGTACGTCAAGAATCATACGAAGGTTGTGATTGACCAATAAATGATTCGTCACTCTTAAATAGTAGGAGATTATGATCTAAGTTTCATTCAATTAAGTCGATGATAAAATTCTTGGCCAAGGTGTACTCATAAGTCGAAAAGGAGTTTTCGACTTGTATTGACTTAATAGTGGAGTGAAAGATATGATTAATAATCGAGATTGACACACTTCCATATCTCGTAATTGATCGGATCATATTGGCGAAGGGATTATAGTTTCACGGTAAACGAACGAGTTTGGTTTTGTCATACCACGTGACATTTTCCGTCACATGTATTGCCCTGACACATTGCTAGATGTCAATCTGGGATGGCGAGTGTGAATTGGTGATAAATTAAAATTTGATTAGATCAAAATAATATTTCACGTCG